AAGTTAAGTATTTAATGGCCAACTAATAGATCTCACAAGGTTAACTTGTGGCCTCAATATATTAATTCATTGTCACACCTTAATGTAAACAAGCTATTGACAATTTTTTTTTTCAATACCAATGAGTCAGAAGCTGAAGAACATCGAGTAAACAGCAGATGTCTCAGATGCTGTCCATTTGACTGGGTGAAATATGAGAGACGTTGCTTTACGTATCAGGCCACCAGTATGGACTGGGCTTCTGCAGAGTTTCAGTTCAATTCATTTCAACTGTATTCACATTTGTCTTTATAGAAGAGTAAGAAATGTTATAATTGTTATTTATTAGCATATATATATGAGTGTGTGTGTGTGTGTGCGTATATATATATATATATGTATATGTGATGGACTTTCCACTGTTCATCTTTTCAGAGGAATAACTGTTTTTGATCTGATGGCACCAAACTGACTTTCACCAAGTGGAATCCAGGTGAACCAAACTTTAAATCTGGAGAGGGCTGTGTGCATATGAACTGGCCTGGTGAGTAGAAACTTCCTTATGCAGCCGTATTTAGAATCTATCTTTTATAACTTCAGTTTAGTGTTTCAGTGTTGATTCTGTTGTCATGCCATGTATAAGTCTATTTTTGTTCTTTGTCTGCTGTTAGTAAGAACTGGAATGACATTCTGTGCGATCGGTGCTATCCCTTTGAGTGCGCCAAGAGTATTAACTGAAATGCTCCCAGCCTCACTTCACCAACTATAATACAATGTTGGAAAATTTTTTCTTGTCACTAATGAATATACAAAAAAAAATCACTTACTGTGGCAAATCAAAGAAAAAGTTATTTTAATAAATGGTTCTCATTTTGGTGTCATTTTTAAATACACTCTCAGAAAAATAAATCCATCTAGCACATGCACTGATTATCCACATAGAATCACACAATAAATGGCTTCCTCTTCAGGAAAAGTTTCAAAAGGAGTACTTTCACAACCATCCAAAAAACCCTTAAGGCAGTGGTTCTCAAAGTGGGTTCTGGGGACACCAGGGGTCTGAGAAGTATAATATTTGGAAATCACCATGTCTCTGTGCAGTAAAGATGAGTCTAAAATTTAAAAGCAGAATTTTAAGGTCAGCATATGCATTCTCTTTAACTGATCAAATTGGATAAGCAGTAAAAAAAAGCCACAGCTCTATCCATTAATAACAGCACAGTTTGTATGGTGAGAAGACATTTTAATGTAATTGGGCATTGGCTAATTCTAAGTGTCATGGTTACGCCGACTTTGGCGCAGGACTACAATTCCCATCAGCCACTGCACCTCACCAGTTCACATCACGTGAATGTTTGCACCTGATTCATATTTTGGTTTAATGAGCACTTGTATTTAAGTCATGTCTTGCACAGCACACATTTTCTAGCCTTTATCTTTTGTCCTTGTTTGTTTGTCACGTTTCCATGTCACGTCCAAACCATAGTTCATGTTTTGATGTCTAAGTTTGCGCTGTCTTTATTGTTTGTTTTTCATTAAAATAAAAATCTGCACTTGCATCTGCCTCCTCTACAGTATCCTGACAATAAGCCATTATGTCATAATCTTATAGCAAGGGTGTCCAAACTAGGGACCGCTGCCATATTTTAAAAATGGTCCGAGAGGTATTTTAGAAATAAAATTAAAATTGCCCAACTATTAAGAAAGCTTGAATGCTAGTTTGAATGCTCTCATATAAACATGAACATGAATTTATGCCTGTATTAATTTTGCAAAGCTACTGGCAGCACCAAAGATATGACAGCAAATGCAAAAGATTTCAGGCACACTGGAAAAATGGATAGTTTCAGAGCAAAATTTCTTTAGTTTGTCAGCAATCAGTGGCTGTAATTAAAGGGGTACTGTTAAGAGACATAAAAAAAGCAACACTTTTTCAAGTCATACACTGGTGCTGAATGAGAAAAAAGAAGGTGAAATAACTAGCAGCTAGCCTGTTAGCTCAACATAACAATTTTTTTTTCCTAACCAAGTGCAAGAGCATGCTATAAGGGCTAACTGGTAGCTAGCAGCCCAGCTTGGAAAAACCTTTTGCAGAGGGCGACTCTGTGTGAACCAGTGCCTCGAGAAAGTTGTTACTATAATGTGTCCAGAAAAGATGCAAGAATTTAACATTAAAGAAACACAGTTGCCTGACAAATCGAAGATTTGTCAACCAACCTAAAGCAGCAATTATCAGGTAAAGCATGTACCTAGATTTTCATTCAGTTGTGTGTGATGTAAGCACTGATGCTACAGACATGGCTCAGGTGTTAATTTTTAGCTACACAAAGATGTGAGCAAACATTTTTTTATGTCTTAATAAAAGACAGAAATCTAATAGGTCATGGTGAGGAAGCTAGTCTGTATTTGATAAAACACCCCACAGTTAATGCTCCATCCATGCTTAATGTTAGTCACGTGTCACTTTCTTGGAGCATGTATCAACACCCAATGTCTCACACCTTTTAATCAGTCTCCTACATGCAATTAATGTGTTTGATTTTGTCCTGGCTTCAACCTCATGGCTTACAAATTATTGCACATAATCTCATTACATACCTGTTTGTACATTCTTCTATAAAGGGCTATGTCGCAAAGGTCAAATCATATGATGCTCTCTTTCTCTGACCTTTACTTCACCTGTCTCTTAACTTGTTGCTATCTATGAATCTCATTTCAGTTAGTCTTAGTCATCTTACCAAGAACAGTTTGTTTCAGTTACCTGCATCACAGGAAACATCTGTCTAGTTTTATATCTGCAGTAACAGATATAAAACTAGACAGATGTTCAGAAGTGATTATGAATTATAATTCAATTCAGTTCAATTCAATTTTATTTGTATAGCGCTTTTAACAATGGACATTGTCACAAAGCAGCTTTACAGAATAAATGGATTCACAAAAATATATTGTAAATATTTGAATTTATCACTGTGAATTTATCCCTAATGAGCAAGCCAGTGGCGATGGTGGCAAGGAAAAACTCCCCGAGATGATATGAGGAAGAAACCTTGAGAGGAAACAGGCTCAAAAGGGAACCCATCCTCATCTGGGTGCAACGGATAGTGCGATTATAAATAAATCCCTTCTATAACTGTGTACTATATGGACAAATAGTGCAATCGTGCAACCAATAAATTCATCACAGTTTTTGCAAGAAGTCCGGCTGGTTAAAATCTATCCACTGTCCACTGATGGAGTCCTGAGCACGAAGCTGCTCTTGGCAACCGCAGCCCCAAAGCCACTACAGCAATCGCAGTCCCAAGCCATTACAGTACAGCTCCCCATATGTGATCCCCATGCCATCTCCACAGCCCCCAGGTGGCGCTATCCCCAGCAATCCAAACAGTTCTTCAGGCAGTCCATATGGGGCCACCCCCAGCAGCAGCAAGCGAACTCAACTGATGAGAACTCTAACCAGAAGTAGGGCATCAGGATGGGTCAGGCAGCGAGGAGGAGCAGAAGGGGTCAGGATCACTGGCATCACTGGCATCTCAGAAGTAGCATGTGTAGCTCGACAGAGAGTGAGGGAGAGAGAGAGAGATGGAGAGAAAGGAAGAGATTGTTAGGTGAGCTTTTGTCCTCTAATGGTTAAGGACAATGTACTTTGCATGCAGAGTGCAAGCAGGGACTCCTAGCTAGACTTGCTATGACAGCATAACTAAAAGGGAGAGCCAGAAGCTAACACAGACATGAGGGCACCCTGGGACATAAAGCAGCCAGCCACTCCACCGTCGACAAACCTGAGTGAACGTGTGAGAGTGGGGGGGCGACAACATCCAAACATCCCAGTTCACCACAACACTCTATGCCTGTGAAACCCTCCAGACCTGCCCCTGTACCTAAGAAAACTATTTACAAAAGGCTTGACTAAACAAATATGTTTTCAGCTTAGACTTAAACACTGTGTCTGAGCCCCGAACACTAAGTGGAAGGCTGTTCCATAACTGTGGGGCTTTGTAAGAGAAAGCTCTACCCCCAGCTGTAGCCTGCATTATTCGAGGTACCAACAAATAGCCTGCAC